AAAACTTGTTTAGTATGAACACCGATAGTGCAAATTCACGAATATAGTTAAGTTATCTTATATCCCCAGCTAAACAAATTAAACGAATTCCTTGTAGGGATATAATGAATCACGGATATACTGTGTACCGAGAAATTTTCGCCCCTGCTTTATTTTCGCCCCATTTGCCCTCATCAGAAGTGGGCAAATTTAAAAGTGGACGAATTAAAAGTAAACAGTATAATATCTTAAACAAAAATCTTTTTGGGCGATTTTAAAACATGGCAAACTTGTTTCCAAATATGAAAGGGTGAAAATAAGACAGGGCGAAAATAACCCTGTATAGAGTAGCAAAATAATTTTACAGGTCCCAGTGACTTTGTTATAAAGGAGTTTTAATGGTTTTACTGTATTGTTTTAATTTTAGCTTGATTATATAATATTCTTTGATATTTATCTCATTAATTGTAATGAGCAAATGAAACTTTAAACATTTTAATATGTTAGTAAACCAAAGAATCACATTTACAATTTAATATTTTATGTTTCAGTTTATCAATCTGGGGGTGAAAGTCTTTGGTAGGAGTAAATCCCCGCTGGTTCCAGACTGTGATTATAGAATTGCTCAGGAGGTAATTATTTCTAACTTACATTTCATTATTCACATGGTGAATGACATCATTCTGATGTAAAAGTACAGGAATGCAAACAAGAAAATTCTGATGATAAAATGTTGAGTTCTGTATTACTGGATTACTGTAAAACTGATCTAATATAGACACCAATTGTTCCATAGAAATTAAGTGGATTAGACAGCATTCTAAATTTAACACAATTTTACTGTGAAAGACGAAAGGTTTACATCTTCGTAGGACTTTTAGATTAAGATTATCGGCCATTGGTAGATTAATTTAAAAAATATATTTTAAATATTTAATTTAAGACTTCGGAATGCATGATGATTAAGTTGAAAGTTTTTGTTCTTCAGGGTCTGGTGACAATGAGGAACCTGCTCACAAAGAGGTCAGTTGTCCTGACAAGAGATGACTTCATTCTGGCCATGACCAAGGAGAACCCAATGTTTAAAGACTTCTCATTGGACGGGAGCCAGAAGTTTCATAAAATGGGTAAAACTGAACAAGACAGTGTACCGTAGAATTTTAAGAAATATTGGATAAAAAATAAGATACACAAATTGGTAAACTTGGGACGTGAATCCTGCAATGTAGGTACATAATAAATTTGCAAATATTAAAATTTTAAAATAAATATGAAGTATATATTTGTCGTCTCTCAAAAACAGAGCTGAATATGAATAATTTAATTTTGTTTGTATTCTAGTCTCTCATTGGTTGATTTCCAAAAAGGAACGCAAATTATTTCTCAATAACCTGGTTTGGTATGGGACACATCCCCTTGACAACCAGCTGAATCATCTGTATCCATGCGATCCCCTTATTTCCAGTCCTTGGGATTCATGGAAAATTCCAGTTTTAATAAATGTACCTTTAACTTCAAACAGTAGCTCAATCTTACCTCATGTAAACAAACATCATGGCTGCTAGAATCTGTGTATCAATTATTACCTCCCCTTGTTTCACATCACTTCCGTTACTAGGGATGTATTATTGAGCGGCAAATTTGAACTCATAAAAAGCAGCACAATTTTACACCCACATTTGATTATTTAAAAATTAAATTATAAGGAATGACTCAAATTCTTGGCCAAACTATTTGATTATAACCTGGTTTGGGTATTTACACTTTTTAGCTCACCTGAGCTGAAAGCTCAAGTGAGCTTTTCTGATCACATTTTGTCAGGCATCTGTCTGTCTAGCTGTCTGTCTGTCTGTAAACTTTTCACATTTTCGACTTCTTCTCAAGAACTGCTGGGCCAATTTCAACCAAACTTGCCACAAAGTATCCTTGGGTGAAGGGGATTCATGTTTGTTCAAATGAAGGGCCACGCCCTCATTCAAGGGGAGATAATTGGGAATTATTGAAAATTTGGTGGCATATTTTAAAAAATCTTCTTCTCAAGAACCACTGTGCCAGGAAAGATGAAACTTATGGGGAAACATCCTCAGGTAGTGTAGATTCAAGTTTGTTCAAATCATTACCCCCAGGGGTAGGGCGGGGCCAAAATGGCCAACCTAAGTTTTACATAGAAATATATAGGAAAATTCTTTAAAAATCTTCTTCTCAAGAATGACAAAGCTATAATTCATCATATTTATATGGAAGCATGCTCAGGGCGTGTAGATTCAAGTTTGTTCAAATCATGACCCCTGGGGGTAGGGCGGGGCCACAATGGCCGACCAAAGTTTTACTTAGAAATATATAGGAAAATTCTTTAAAAATCTTCTTCTCAAGAATGACAAAGTCATAATTCATCATATTTATATGGAAGCATGCTCAGGTAGTGTAGATTCAAGTTTGTTCAAATCATGACCCCCGGGGGTAGGGCGGGCCAAAATGGCCGACCAAAGTTTTACATAGAATTATAGCGAGCGCAGCGAGCGTCGCGAAGCGACGCTCGCGAAGCGAGCTCAATAGACTAACGTGTATGAACAGAGGAAATTCGGATTGAAATCTGTACATACGTCAGCCAAATTTCTCTGTGCAACATTCCCAGAATTCCTGCACTACCCAATGTCCTTTGCGCGAATAAATCAAAAATAGTAAAAAAATTAAAGGAACATTGTTTCTTACCGAAATCTTAACGAAATGATTTAGCCTTACCTTATTCAAAAAAATACCCCCATGCCACAACACCAGCCTTCACCTTGCCCTTCGGAAATGATACAAATGACGTCACCGGAAACTTACGAATTTTGACGAAGTTATGTCGGTTGCTTCCGTGAAACTCGGAAAACATGTTACGGTGCATAGCAACAACTTACTTGAAAAGAACGATTAAATGCAATCTCTTTTCCATAAAACTAGCGTTTGCGTCCTAAGTCAACAGAACTTTTCATCTGACGTCATACTTTCGTCACTTCAACGGTTCGGGTATTTCCGATTTTGTCGGAAACTTGCGAGAAGTTTGGAATCTCGATCCCGATGCTTGGGAAATGATTTCTTTTTATAGTTTTGTTTTATTCTTTTTGCTTTCTTTTTCTTGAATGATAGACAGTACATGTGTAGGTTTTTGATAGTAAATAAACTGCGCTCGCCCCAACGGTCACACCGTTAAACATATTATAGGAAAATTCTTTAAACATCTTCTTCTCAAGAATGACAAAGCCATAATTCATCATATTTATATGGAAGCATGCTCAAGTAGTGTAGATTCAAATTTGTTCAAATCATGGCCCCCAGGGGTAGGGCGGGGCCAAAATGGCCGACCAAAGTTTTTAAAGATATATATATAGGAAAATTCTTTAAAAATCATTTTCTTAAAAATAGCAAATCCATGATTGGTCATGGGACTACTTTTGGATTTAAACTTTACAATAAAAAGCCATTTTCTACTTTTTCCTACCCTTAGTGCTCAGGTGAGGGATGTGGCCCATGGTCCTCTTGTTTATAATCTGCTTCGGGGATTATAAAGCGTAAACTGACCCAAACCAGGTTATAATCGAATAATTTGGCCAAGAATTTGAGTCATTCCTTAAATAAGAATTTGTAATCAGTAAAGAAATTCTTAAACTGAAAATGAAAGAACTTAGATGAGTCCCATCAAATGCAACCAAAAAGATAACTGAATCTAACATTGTTTTCTGTTTTCTAGATACTGGAAGCATAGTACTTCTATACAAAGGATCAGATAGGTAAGAATCTTCAAAATAATGTGTTATATGTTGAGCTATCAATGGAGAATATTAATTATTATGTTTTGCATTTACAATGATGCTAAAATTTTGATTGATGTAAATACAGTGTCAGTGAGATTAACTTTTCACTCAAAATTCTGTAATTTCTAGAAAAGAAATCTGAAAGTTCCAAATTGTATATTATCTAGTCCAATATTCTGAGCAGTATATACCTGTAGAAACTGAATTTTTGATTACTCGTATAATCCCCTTTAAAAAAAAAGCTTGCTGTATATAATTCAGTGTAACATGTTGACAGTGCGACTCGGCCGGCCTGTGATCTGGTGATTTGTGGATGGAGAGGGAAGACTTCTGTCAGAGCCTTCATTAACAGCGGACTCAGATTCCATTACTTAAGGCTGTTCAGTGAAAAGCTGGCCGAGGACTGTAAGTTATGCTATAATACTGTAGACAAAAGGGGCTTGGTTAAGCTCAGGAGTATATAAAAAAGTTTAGTCGGAGCTCAATATTTGTACTTTTTGACTAATATTTAATGGAATGCAGCCATTGAATTTTGAAGTTATACCTGTAAAAACTTTTTATTTGGTGGAAAATTGTGAAACTGTTTATTCAAAGCAATTATGGCCCTTGATTTTGAAAACATGCATGAAGTCTTTATTGAAATTTAGATATAGATATACATGTATGTTGTATAATGATGAAATACTAATACTACATGCAGAGGGAATTTCATTTCCCTCTGTAAACAGAATCGTGATAGAATTTCATGCTGAAAATGTGCATTTACAGGCTTTTTCTGTATCATATCTATTGATTTTTCAGTATCAGTAGTTGGTTGGATGATAATAAGTTGTGACTGGAATATGTATATGCTATATTAATATTAGTGTTATATTTTAAACAGAACAGAAATGTGGTATTTTTTAATTTGAATAATAAATTCTTATTTTTCTTCAAGTGGCAATCCAATTGGAAGAAAAGAAGCAACAGAAAAAAGATAAAGAAAAGGCCACAGAAGATGATGAACCCATAGAAGGTGATCCAACAGGAAACCAGGAGGGGGATCAAGGAGAGGTGGAATCAGAGGCAACCAGGGCTGAGGAGATGGAGGAGGGTGAAGGCGAGGATAATGTCGAGGGTTGTGACAATGACAATGATACTAGGACGACAGACAACCAGATAGACGAGTGTGGGACCTGAGCTTCTGAAGGCAGGATGGAAATGTTGTCTTATGAATATTACTAGGAAGAATCAGAATTTATGATGAAGAATCATGTATTCTTCAAAATGTGTTATGAGAAAACAGTCAAAATTGAATACTGAATGAATTGTCTCAAAGAGTAAAGCAGTGTAATGCTTTTGTTTTCCATCAGCTTTGTGAAAATTGTTCTTTAGAGGTTAACATAAAAATATAGTGACACTTAAGATCTGAGTCCAGGTAATGATATAGTAGAAGAAATTTTATATCTTTCGAAAATATAATTAATATGAGAGGTATTCAACACATTTATGATATTAACGTGACAGGAATTTCTGCTTGGTTAAGCAATTTATATCAAATTCAGAATTGAGTATTCTAAAATGTGTGAAAAGATTACCTCACATTAAATCTCAAAACAGTTTTATTTCCGTTTGTCATCTGTACCGACATTTTTTTGCTATCCTATCGGGTATATAGTCCACTCCTCTGAAAATCAAGACATCTCTTTGTCATTCAATACAGCCCAGGCTTTGTGTTGGGAACATCTTTTTTCACTTTTGTCAGATCTAAGCAGAGAAATTGTATATTTGTCGTTCTGTTTAGTTTTGTCACATGTCAGATGTGGTATACTTGTCTATATATTACATAATTTGGAAGTCATTGGGGTGACATTTACTGAGATTTGACAAGCTTCAATTACACGCAGTTTGCATTGTTAAGTAAGTGCGCCTATTGAAGATTTGTTTTCCCTCCAAAATATTAGTTTCAAATAGATTCAGAGGTTGCAGAGTATTTTGTTCACTATTTAAACTGAGAAACGTTCATTTTTATATCCTCTTTAGAAATTGTGCAATAGATAGCTATTAAAAATTTTTTTTTATTCGTTCCTTGTTCTACTTTTCTTACGAACTTTATTTGTATATTATAAATGCATAAAAATATGATTCAGTACAAAAGTTTTGTTTACAATATTTCATAATATTTCTTATTAGTTTGTTTTTGGATATACTATTACAGAAGTTCAATAGTGACTCTAAAACAGAAGTTGATAGAGAAAGTTTAATACTTTTATGATTATACCCCACAAAGGAAGTTTAGCTAGGGGTATATAAAAATTATGTGTATGTCTCCTTGTTAAAACATGCAGTAGAGAAGCATTGAAAGTTCACAAGAGGGGGGGGGGGGGTAATGACCTTCAATTAATTTCATTTGAAGAAGATCAAGGTCACTGGTAAAGTTGTTCCAATTGTAACTGGTTTGTAACTTTTTAACTGTATGGAAACAAAGATTGCTTATAACCCAGTTATGTACATGTCTTAATTTTTAGGCAGGTTCACGATTCTATAAATAGTGTTTGTGTTACCAGGCCAACTGTTTGACCTTGTTATATCATTGTTTTATTTTTTTTCCTGTAAATGGTACATTTCCCAGAATGATACATGTTATAAATTATATACACAGTTAAATCTTTATTATAAATTTTGTTTCTGGATTTTTTTGTGCCATTTGCCATAAAGATATTTTTGTGTGTGTTTCTACCAGTTTCTGAACTGCTAATTATTTATTAGTCCGAAAATCGGGCATTTACCTGGCTTTTTTACGATTTTGATATTTTACATGCCAGGAAAACGTCAGAACCAGTGCCATTAAGAAAACTGGGAATTTCACCGTCTCCACCCAAAGTTAATTTTCTATACTTGGGAACCAAATTAGATGCAGAACTCACAATTTATCAATGGCACAATGCTCCTAGAACTCGCCAATATCCATGAAAAAAAAATGACCACTCCACATTCCGATTCAGAACTTGCAAGATTTTAAAATGCATGAAATGAAAACAAATCTTGACAGTCAGATAAAATGTTTTCAGATTATATTATTTCACGAATGAACCATGAAAATGATGTTAGTGAGTACTAAAGGTATTGTACTATTGATAAAATGTGAAATCAGCATTTAATTCAGTTTGCAAGTATCGAAAATCAACTCGATAATGCCGCCTCCTGTTGGAGGCGGCAAATTCCCAGTTTTCATAATGGCGCCAGTTCCTGGCATGTAAAATATCAAAATCGTAAAAAAAGCCAGAAATACGTCAGATTTTTCTAACTAATTATTTATCTGTTTTTATGACAAATTTATATGTTATGTAAAGTGCTTCTCATTCACTGCCCTGTAAATGAGTCTGGTTCACTGTACTTCTGGGTACTTTAATATACATGTACCTTTCTAATGCAGAGGCATTAGAAGTTCTTGATAGACACCAAGATTAGTTATGACCTTTGGATAAGTCATGACCTTGATGAAAGGTCATTAAAACAAGTTCAAGGTCACTAGCAGAAAAAATATGTACATATGCTTATAATTCCTTTCTGGGTCTTGTCTTGTAATCGAAAAAAAAAAGATTGAAAGTTTATACATGTACCTGGTACTTGACTTACAGATTCTAAAGTTATGTCATGACCAAAGATGGATTTAGAATAGGTTTAAGATAATAACTATCAATGGAGTTATAAGTGTGCAATGTGAAACTGCATGGAAACTGAAGTACTTAAATTATATTACAGGGGATTATACATTCACTGAAGAAATATGTGTGTATAAGAGAACCTTACATAACAACAAGAATTGTTATTATAATGACATACCCTCTGAAGAATATTTAAGAGCATTTTATGTGCTATATGTAACATTCTTTGGTAACAGTTGATTGATGTGAAAATGCATGTTTTGATGCAAGTGATTAGTGAGGCATGGTAGGAATTCCAAACGTGTTCGTCTAACTATCTCCCAATGACAGGGGTATGACCTTTATAGAGATCTGAAGAGTAAGGGATAAGAGGGGGAAGGGGTGTATCACGACCTACAAAGTTTGGAGAGTTGAGGATAAGAGGGACACTGTGTTGGGGTCGGGGATCGGGGGATACTCCTGTCATTTGATGAGGGGGTGTTATTGTTGTAGGGTATACTATCTGAGGGACGTCGATTGAGGGTTTCCTAACAATTGTAAAGTGATAGTCATATTGAGCTACGTGTGAGATGAGACATGATAGCGAGTTTTAGTGACAGTAATTTATTTGCACTGTGTGCTGGAGTTGTGTGGTTATAAGGGTTATTGATATGTGAAAGTTGAACTATCGGAAGAAAAGATACCAGAAAATTGCTGAATATTAAAAAAATGCAAGAATATTTTTTTTCATTTATTTACTCATGAATTACAGGGAAGTCAATAAAGAGTTCTCACAAACTGTAAAATATACATGGTACAAGTCAGTTCCAGGTCATAGCCTGAATAAAAAAACAGGATACTTAAGTGATTATTAAGTCATCTTGTTAAAAAATTAATTTCCCTTGGGGTCCAGTGTCCAACTAAAGGGAGGTATTTGGGTAGAGTTACATGTAAGTTTAGAAAAAAAAATTGTGAAAATGCATAGCACCATGAGAATCCCCGTCCCTTGCAAGCAAAATGTGCATGATTTATAAAAAGCTAGCTTTTGATAAAAAATTCATGTCTGTGGCCAGGATGGGATTGAGCTGATCATATATGAATAATCATACAATATTAAAATTATAATTTTTCTTCAGCATTTAGCAAGCCTGATACTAAGCATGAAACCTTTGAACAAATTGTCGAATGTATGTCCAGGGCCTAGATCTAAAGAGCGAAGGTAAGTTGATCAAATATTTTGTTGTCAGGGGATGTTCACTCCTCCATGGCACCTGATCCTCTGTTAGGGGTTCATGTTTGCTCTACTCCTGATCTGTATTGTTGAATGGACTTATGAGCTTGAATAGGTTTTGATATCTCCATATAATTCATTCCCAAACATCAAACAGAGATTTCTTAGTGATGGTAGCAAAAATTTCTCGAACAGGTCCAGATTTCCAGTCTCCGAGCCAACATGGTCATAATGCCAAGACACTTGTGATACGCGGGTGACATTTATATCAGCGGTACGTGTGTCCTGTGTGGTCTATTTCTTGTCATCATGTAAAATGCGTTTGTTCATTATTTATTGAAGATTCTAGATGAAATCTTTCACCACCCTGTTTATGACACTGATTTGTGATTCTTCTTATTTCAGTAAATTGGTCATGTTTGCTCATTACTGATACAAACATGATGTGCAGATGATTTCCACAATGGTTCTCCTTTGTTCAGTGGGTAAGTGCAGAGTAATAAATGCCCCTAAAATCACCAACAGTAATTAAAAAACATTCAAGATCACTTGTAGAAATTGGGTAAACATGACCTTTGTGTACTAATGTTGACCTCTGCATACTTGTTACATTTTTATACAATAGCCTTTTGGTATCTTGTTGAATATAAATATCCTTAAAAAAAATTGAAATTATGTTTGAAATATTTTCCTTTTTTCACATGATTTTTTATGTGTATGACAATGTTTCTGACAAATGGATATGTGGTCTACTTGAGGCTTTTATATTTTTTATTGCTTTTCAGGTACGGTGGATCCATGATTGAGCGGTGAATAAGACGAGCCTTAAGGAGGTAAGGAGGAGAGGGCCTGAGGGGGTGTGATTCATTGTTGGTCCCCATTGGGGAGGTGACAACACTCGCACCTATTGAGTGGCTATTATGTCATCCATGTCGGGTTTCAAATGTCACTTTCTGTTTGTCTCATTTCCAGTTGCGGTCTGCGGTAGATGATAAAAAAAAGCAATAACCATATATTGTGTTCTGAAGTGGCACAGATGTCTTGTCAGGATAAATTTTAGTGAATTATTATGTATTTTTTAAATATACGTGCAACTTCCTTTATATAATTATGTTGGTCAATAGCTGCTGATTTAGTGATGGAAAATGGTACCCAGAACTTGTGCGTTGAGATTAAGTTACACAATACAGTTAAAACCACAGATATTTCCATTTAATTGACACACATCGATGAGTAATTCAAATTAGAAGAGCTAGATTGCATTTTATTTGAAAAAGTAACTTGAGCAATGCTTAAAAGGGATAAACCACCCTAGTAGATTTATTCTTTGTTGCTTTTTCAGATGTAATCTAAACAACCAGATGATCAAACAAGTTCACTTCAAAATTCAAACAAAGAATTTTTTCTTCTTTTATGATGCATTTCTGATTTTCTTCTGCAGTGTTTGGTAAAACTCCTAGGTTGGGATGAGAAACTTCACTACCTTTCCACCATTATATGTTCTTAGTTTTCTATCCAGGTGCATACATCTGTTCTTATAGTTATACAATTAAAGTAAAATTTGAATTTAAATTTAGATTCTGATTTTAATCTTGTTGGTTTCTCAGCATACAAATTTTTGGTGAACTTCCGTAATTCATGGAATTTCAGACTTGAAAAATTACTGGTAAATTGATTTGGAGCTAAATTTTTAACCTTATAGTCAGTTGTAAACTGTAATTGTATAAATTTGTCATAAGAATAC